CGGCTTGGGGACGGGTAAAGGCTTGCCTGGAACGCAAATATCGCTTCCAAGCCGCGATAGCTACCCGCAAGAAAAGGTTGCACGCATCTCGTTGTAGGGTGTTGGCCTGACTGATGGTCAAGGCTCTGGCATCCATAAGCACGAGGGTGGCCATAGAGATGCGGGAGTTGGTAGGTGCGCGGCCTGTTGCCGTGCGGGGTTGGGGGAAGGCCTGTAGCATGGCGTTACGCGCCTCCCGGTCTAGGATGAGCGCGTGGTCAGAGGCATGTAAGTCAAAGGTTAGAAGTTCGGGAGGAGGCTTAAATGTGTCTTCAAAAAGCTGCCTGGCTGTCGGGTCGAGGTACGCTGTAGGGTCGTGCGGGATACGCATGACCTGGCATCCCTGATCCTCGGTTGGGCGCAGCTGAAGCTTGAAGCGGCAAGATAGGCACGGAGCAGCGTGGTCTAGTACTGCGAGTGCCAAGGTAAGGGGGTACTTGACTTCGCACTCAGTGGCTGAGGCGCCTATCGGGATAGCTATGTAATCCCTGCGCTTCCAGTGTTGTTTGAAGGCGGGGTCGCGTGCTGGCGAAATCCATGTGCCCGATCCCATAGGGTGGGGCACAAAGGTGGCCGGCAGCCAGAGATTTGAGGCGAGTAGGAAGCGATGGAAAAAAGGAGCCAGCCGTGTTGACCTGCTCCGCATGCTGGGGGCCGATGGCCGCTGAGGTTTGCGTGCCCACTGCAGCATTGGAGTCCATGAGGACCAGAGTGGGAGTGGGCTGCGGCAAAATATGGTCATGCACATGTCGAAGGTGCTGCCACCATGCGGCCTGCTCATGGAGAGGACGCCCGGAATGGTGAGCGTGCGCCACTAGGATGCTGAAACGTAGGCCGTTCTGACTTATGACGGCCGCGATGATTCGCGGGTCTTGGTGTACAATGCGCACATTATGCGACTGAATAGGAAAGGTGGGGATGCCTTCTGGCATTCGGAAATACGGGCGTGCTAAGGTTGACCCAGAGCGCGCAGCCGCAAGCATGAGTACCAGCTTGCGACTCGGACAGAAAAACTATGAACGGGGGGACTTGGCGTTTGCCAGAGCCCTTGGCAGTGACTCGCGTTTCTTGCATACCGATAACATCGAGCCCATTGCGTTGAAAGGCGGCGGCCAACTGATGTAGGCGTCCTTTGACGGCCACACCTGTAAGCCTGGCTCTTTGGGAGATGCGCGATGCAGGCGTGAGAGAGAGAATGTTGGCTGAGGCTAGCCTGAGGCAACAGGATGCGGTGGCGTCTGCGATAGGGGCTGCCTCCTCGGAGAGACCTGGAAGAACATCTGCGAGCGAGGTGCGGGGGGGGGAAAGGAGGATTAAGGCTAACCTGATGGTTAGGCGGGTAAAGGGCGCGCTGTTGCTGGGGGAGGCACTCAAGCCAGAGCAATTCCAGGATGTGCGCATTGTCCTGGAGAAAGCTCATGAGGGGTGGGGGCGCGGGAGGAGGGAGCACTGCGAGGGAATAAAGTCTGGCGACCGTGTCAACCATTTCGTTGAGTGGGTCTGCCTGGTGACCGTGCACGTGCTGCCATGTAAAGCGACGTTTCAGACCCAGGACCTTGCACAGACTGTCAAGGCGACTTCTGTGCTCTATGAGTGGCTCGGCCACAGTACCGCCTTGGGCGGTAGAGACCACGCCCATGTTGTCTGAGTGAAAGGTGAGAGGAACGGCGGGAGGAAGCGGGGACTGTAGGGCCCATAGCGCCGCCCAAGTGGCGGCATCGAATTCTGCCTTGGCAGAGACTCTCGTTGCTCCTGTCAGCTCCGGTGTGGGACACCCGAGGAAGCCGAGAAAGTGACGAGTGCCGTTGAGCCATGCAAAGACCAGAAAAGCCCACGCTGGCGGGCCAGCGAGATCTCCTTTGGAGGCCCCTCCGCTGGCGTCGGTGTATATATCCGCGGAGTCAAAAGCCGCGTAGGTTGTGTCAAAGGCGAGGCTATGCCAGGTAGGGATGGAGGAGGAGTGGAGGGCGGGAAATATGGCATCAAAATCCCTGACCAGCTGGATGGAGGTAGCCGTGAGAACCGGTAGCATCCACCCCATGGGCGGAAGCGGGCTGCGGCGTATGCCTTGTCGTCCGCCCAGGTTCACCCGTGGGCAGTGTCCGGGGGAGCGACCTGAAAAACCGTGCCGTCGCGCGCTGCCTGGGCCAAGTCGTCCTGAGCAGCCTGTGCCGCGTGGGCCTCGGCTTCGGCGCGAAGGTCCGCTGCCTCTGCGTCTGCCATTGCATCAGCAGGACTGCGGGGGGCAGCCGCGGCGGGGGCCCCTGCACGGGACGTCGGCTCGGCCTCGGCTGGCGCTCGCCTGGGGCGGCGGGAGCCACGAGGGCTCTTGCTGCGTGCCGCCTGCTTGCCTTCAAAATCTTCCTCGCTGATGCCTGAGAGCGTGCGCTCGTCGGCCTGGCCCGCGCGCGCGGGTCTGCCCCTGGCCTGAGCGCTTGCGCTGCGGCGTGAGGATGCCATGGTGACTGGCTCCCCTTGATCATCAGAGAGGTCCCATCCGAGCTGGCTGGCAGAACGGGTAGGCGGGGGCAGTTCGCTGGGCTCCCCTACGGAAGCTGCTGCTGGGCTCGACTGGTTGGTAGCGGCCTCCCCTGGTGGCGCAGTGGTGGACGCCTCCCCTGTCGGCGTCTCGGGCACTGGCGCTGGCCCAGGTTTGGGCACGAAACCTAGGCGGAAAAGCGGGCCTGCTCTGGCGGGTGCGCGGGCTTGGTCAGAACCTGACGGCGCGGTGGCCCCCCCCCGGGCCGCGGCACCGTGGCTAGAGACGGCGGCTGGCACTAGTTGCCCGGCCTTGATCTGTGAGACTAGGGTGTCTACTGCGTTGCGCATGGCCTGGGCCTGGGAGTCAAAACTTGCCTTAATGGTGGCTACCTCCCTGGCCATGGCCTCGGCGTTGCTCTGCATGGCCGCGGAGAGTGAGGTGATGTAAGGCTGTTCCAACCCTTGGATGCCTGGGAGGGGCGCGGGGCATTGGAGGAGCGGAGGGGAGGGCGGCGCGGCAGTGAGGGGCGTGGCCGTTCCTAGGTCTGGCGGGCCAGCTCGATCTTCGCCCGCGTGCGATGCAGAGAGCGCCGCAGTGCGTTGTACTGCTCCTGGCTCGTCCGCCGCCTCCCCCATCATGAGCGAGTCAGTGATGGCGGCGACTGGCGGCGCCTGCGATTTGAAATAAGCTAATAATGTAGATGCCTGGCTGAGGTCCGCTTGCGCGGTTTGAAGGGCCAGGGCGAGGTTACGCACGTGCTCCTCTGCCTGTGCTTGCTTAGCTGCCAATTGCTCGCAATCGGCATGCAGAGAGGCCACCACGTGCTCTTGCTCGCTAATCTTGGCTAGCGGATCCCTCGCATTGGCCAATTGAAAATTAACTAACGAAATCTCCTCACGGATCTCGGTGATACGCATATCGGAGTGTCCTAGGAGGGTTGAGGCCCTGAGCTGCAGGATCAGCGCATCCTTGCTCATGGCAAGGGCCTTGCGGTGCTCCAGCAGGCGGTCGGGCTCGAGCGGGGGTTAGATCCAGGCCGAATGAGAGTGCGCCTCGTCAGGGGTGAGGGTAGGGCATTGCGCTGTGAGCTCTGCTACTGAGAGCTCAGTGGCAGGATCCAACGCGCCGAGAGAGGAGAAGGCTTGGTCGGCCATAAGGAAAGGAGACTGCTGCACAGAGGCGGGGCCGAAGAGTGTGGAGGGGGTGGCCGCACCTTCAGGAGGAGGCGCAAAAGGCGAAGGCTGCGCCCGGGGAGACTGCCCGATGATGCCCGTGTCCTTGGCGCCGTGCGGGGTGCCAGGAGCCTTTGAGGCGGGCTGCTCCCCCTCGCTGCGCTGGGCCTCGCGGGCCTTGCGAGCCTCGTCCTTCTCTCGCTTCTTGCGCTCCTTGTTGGAGATCACTTCTGGCTGGACCGTGTGGTCTCCTGGGGATGCGGGGAGCAAGCCGTACTCCGCTGCCCACGCAGCCACCTGGTCGAAAGATGGCGCAGTTGACGGCGCATGGCCTTTGCCCATGTGTGCCCCTCCCGTGCTTCCAGAAAAGGAGCGTGGGCCCTTGTGGCCCGGCCCAGGGCCCGCACCTTGAGGGGCTTGTGCTGCTCCTGACCTTTGGCGGGGCCGGCTGTCGCATGCTGAGGACCTGCCGCCCGAGTCGGAAAGCAGGTGGGGCATGAAACGTCCAAAGTGGTATTGGCCCGGCCGCACTGCAGGCAATACCAAAGCTCGGGAGGGGCGCTGCCTTTCTGGTGCACTGGCTGCTGGGGGGGAGGAAAAAAGTCAGTAGGCAGGCGCGTGGCATAAAGGGACGGGGAGGGAGGAGCAGCCATACGCTGCGTGGGGGGAGGTAGCCATACCGTGCTGCTGCAGCCCAAACGTTGGCGAGAGAGCTGCTTGCGCGCTCTGCGATGGTGAGCGGGCTCGTCGCGAGGCCGCTGGGGGTAGGAGGGAGGAGAGTAAGCAGGCGTCGCGCCTGGCGGATGGCGGCCCTTGCGGGCGTCGCGGCGGGGATCGGCGCGGAACCGGTTTGCAAACCGCTCGAGCCAAACCTGGCACGAGGAGGAGGGAGGAGGGAGGGGGGGGGGGGCCCGACGGGGCGGGGCCACTCCAGGCCGTCCACAGGGGGGCAGCCGAGCGGATGGGGTCGGAGGATCGCGCTGCATCGCGACTGCTTCGGCGATGCGCCGCGCCTGTCCCGATGTCGCCGACCGACGCACCGGCGCTGCGGTGCGGTGCGGCGCCCCGACCCCGTCTGCTCCAGTCCCTCTCCGGGCCGGCCTCTCGAGGGGCGCAGGCCTTCCTGTCCCCCCCCCAAGCGACGGCTGTGATGATCCGGGGCAGCTTGGACCACCCGAGGAGAGTGCAGCCGTGGGTCGAAGCATGCCGCGCATGTCTCGGTCGCTCCGGGTGGGATTTGCCAAGAAGCTTTGGTCAGCAGTGCCCCGCTTCAGGAGGCCCTGGCTGCCCCCCTGGGGGGGGGCCAGGCCGGCGGCTGGGCGTTCGTCTCGTCCCCAGCGCCCGGCTGGCAGGCGCCACGCCCGCCCTTTGGGAGAGTGGAGGGCCACCGCCGCGCCTCTTGGCGAGGAGGGGACAAACCAAACCTCAGAGAAGGCGAAGGAGCCGATGCAGCTACGCTTCCCGCGTCGCCATGGCTGGAGTCGCCTCGAACTCCTTATCGCAGAACGCGCCCCAGGAGAGGGCCGTGGAGTCGCGGTATCGGTACTTGTTGTCCCCCTGAGACCCTCTCGCGACTCTCGCGTCGCGAGCAAAATCGCGACCGACTATTTTGCTTCCTTTTTGGCGGGGCCCTCGCTGGGCCCAGTACCGTTCAACAGCGGCTCGGGTTGAAAAATCGGCCCCAGGGGTCGAGGGGCTCGGCTCGAGGTCTATTGGCGAGCACGTCGTGGGCGCATCACGACGTCGGGGGCCTGTGAAGGTTCGAGGGTCGAGGTTTGAGATGAGTGAGTTCTGCCTTTTCAGAGTTATTACATAAACTCACCCCCAGACAGGCAGCGGGGCTGATTTTCCAGGGAGGCCCCGCTTGCGCCATGAAGTGATTCACGATGCAAGGTTGTTGGCAGTTTCGGCCTCGTGTGGGCCATCGGCATGCCCTTGTGCCGTCAAAAACATCTCAGGATGAAGAGCTGGTCTCGGAGAGGGGGGTGGCGGTGCACTCCCTCGGCATGAAGAAATAGGCCCTTGACAAAGGGGTCCCTGGAGGTTTTCAAGATTCATTCGGCTTCTGGGGTCCCTCCACAGGCCCCGAGACCACCGCAAAACGACTCGTGAAAAGCCATGGGGTGCAGGACCCGTTTTTCCTCCCAGACCCGTCTCTGAGGTCTTCGATCATGGACTCTTTGTTGAACGCAGCCCGCCGCAGCCCCCCGGCTTCCTCGCCGAAGGCCGCCAGAAGCCGCCGAAGACCACCGAAGATCTTCGAAGACCGTCAGGAGGCCGCGCCGAAGACCACCGAGGACGGCCCAGGGCCGATGGGTAACAGGGGGTCCATGCTGGAGCGCCGCTTCTGTCGTGCCAGACGCCCCAGGAGGGGCGAGCGGAGAAGAGCGCGGCCAGCGGGATGCTCTTCTCGCCGTTGTCGGCACCGCGTGAGTCACTCCTGGTGGTCCCCGCGAGCCCGTTCTCCACCCGCCCCAGAGGTCCGACGCTTCGACAACCACTGGAGCGGAGGGCTTTGGGTCCATTTCGGAATCCTTTGGGGGCCCCTGCCGGGCTTCGGGGTCGTCAAGAAAGGATTCAGGGCGAAAAGCCGGCCCCGGGGGAGCGGTCCAGACCTCCGGGGGCCACGCATCGAAAAGGTTGGGAGCGGCCGGGTGTCCAGGGTCATCGCCTCGTGCCGTGCGTGCACGGACGCGCGCGGCACGCGTGTCCGCAGCCTGCTTTTTGTTGGGGGTCGCGAGGGGGGAGCTCTGGCACGACCTGCGCTGCCCCCGCCGCCCTGGTCCTGGCCTCTCCTGGTCCTGGCCCAAGCGGATTGTTCGGTCGGCTTCTGTTCGAGGAGCTGCGATCGCAGCAACAGGTGGTTAAGTACCGGAAGCTCCAGCCTGACCGAACCACCCAGAGCATCTCTTGCAGGCCTTGTCTGAGAGAGACTGATCACGATAGCATCGGCGAGTCGAGCAAAACAGTGCTCTGATTCAATTGTTGCGTTGTTCGTGATTGCTGTTCCCATTCTGGTCCTGGCGCGGGTGAAGGCCAGGTGCGGGGTGCTCCGCGTGGGCACAGAGCGGGCCAGGTCAGGCTCTTGCGGGAAGGCTGGTGCGGCAATGCGCTCGCGCAGTAACGCCCCGCCGCTGCTCTTGCTGCTGCGGTCCCTCCACGTGTGCCGCCGCCCCGAGTGATGCACCGCACCGGCCGCCCTTGTTGGCACAAGCCGCGTTCGACCGTGAAGGCCTTGCGGTCGGTGCTGCCGACCCTGAAGGGGGAGCCGGAGGCGTCTGGGAGGTGCGGGATCGAAGGGGAAAGCTTCTGCCAGGGAGGGGTGCTCCCCCCCACGGGGGAGTGGGGGGGCCACAACCCCCGGGACCCCCCCCCTCCTACCCCCCCCAGACTCCCCCACCCACCCCTGGCGGGAAAGGCATCAATGGGAAGGGGCTCCCCTTCGACTCGACTGCGACGTTGCTCGATTTCTTTTTGGCTGGAACGTTTGAACAGGAGGGTCCACGGACAGGGACGGAGGGGCGGTGACGGCGACGACGATGACGATGACGACGCCTCCAACGGAAAGGCCTTCCACACACGCCGACAGGGTCGGCGGATGAGCAGGACGACCCTGCCAAATCAAGGGCACCCTTGTGTCCTGTGTATGGCGTCTCTTCCCTTCCTGCGGCAATGTGGCCCTCGGAGGGGCCCTGCGCCCTTCCGCGTGTCCTCTCCAAGGAGGATATTCGGAGACTCGACCGCAGGGCAGTCGCCCGCGTTCGGACCGAGTCGGCACTGAGGCACGGTCAGGCACACCCCCAATCCGTGAGTCGATCGACTGGGGGCACCGCCCCGTCGGAGTGCGCCCGAGGGTCCCTGGTACACCGAGGCGGGGGGGAAGAGGTACGGTCGAGCGTCTGGCCTGCGGCCGTGCGCCGTCGGCCTCGCATGTTCGTGCTTCCAGATGGTCCTGTTGTTTTTCCCCTCTGATGTTTTTCTCCTCGGAGGAGGTGGCCTCCCACACCTCCGGCGGGCTGTGTCTTCCAGTCGCTGCGTTTTTGCTCGAGCTCGGGCTTCTGCGGGCCGGCTTCGGGCCCTGGGAGCATCAAACCTTGACCGGGGTGGAGCAAACAGTGACCCGCAGGGCAGGGGTCGAGACCCCTGCTTGGAGGTCCGAGTCACGCATGCTGCTTGCACCGTGGCTATGAGAGTAGCTCGAGTAACCTCGCTAATTGCGTTCACTACTTGGGGCAACATTTGAGTTATTTGCTGAGCTGTTCAAGGTAATGGCGGAATACATGTCGCAACACATGGCGCAATCCATGGATGGCACGGCCATGGCGCAACCCATGGGTGGGGCAACCCATTGCTCAACTTATGTTGCTTTGCATGGAAGTGCCCAGGTTGGCCTCGGAGGAAGCGGCCTCAGCTGCAGAGGAGGAGAGGTAGGAGGAGGGGAGAAGGAGGAGGAGGAGGAGGACGACGACGACGACGATACCGATGCCGAGGAACAAGCCGACGGGGCCCACAGTGGTTGGCCCTCTCAGTTCTACGGGCTTACGCCTGATGTATGCTCGCCGTTTGGGCTGGTGCTGGGGCCAAACGATGATCTGTCTTGTGATAATCGCTGCCCGCACCCGTAAGGTGCTTTACCCGTCCTCACCACCACCTCATCCCACTCCCTTCACTCCGTCCTTCTTCCCTTCCTCCTCCCTTGTCCCTTCCCTTCGCTCCGCCCTTTTCCCCCTTCCCCTCATTTCCTGCCCCGGTCCTCATCATCATGTCCTTACCCCCCCCCCTCCCTCCCCTCTCGCCCCCCGTCCCTACCACTCCTGCTTTCCTCACTTCTCCCTCCATCCCCTCCCTCCCTCCCAACGTCCTCCCTCCTTCCGCGTTCCCTGCCTCACTCTCGTTTTCTTCGTTATCCTCCTCCCACATCCCTCCCTCCCGCCCCGCCCTCTTTCCCACTCTCCCCCCCTCCATCTTCGCCCGCCCGCCCGCCCTCCTTCCCGCTCCTGCGCCGCTCTCTCCCATCCCCCCTCCTCGTTCCCAATCCTGCTGCCACCATCCCCCTTCCCTTCGCCATTCAACCTCGTCCTTCTAGTCGCTCTTCTCCTCCTCCTCCTCCTCCTCCTCCTCCTCCTCCTCCCGCGATGACGGCCGATGGGGCGGGCAAGGAGGGAGAGAGGGGAAGGCGGAGGGGGGGTCGGGGGGCCAGCGCTCAGGAGGGCAGGGCGATTGTAACAGTTTTCGTGCGGTCGCTTCGGGGAGGAGGCAAGAGGGTGAGTGTAAGGAGGATGATGCTGGTGAGGACGATGTCGGGGGCAGCGAGTGCGACCGCAAGAAAACGATCACCGTGCAGTTACTTACTCGCGCCGAGTAGCGTAAGTCGCGTAAGTAGCACCCAGGGTATCTGTATACATTTATATATATATATATATCATGTTATCGTGTTGCAATGCGTTGCTTTTTTGCAATAATGTGTAATATGTCCACCCGTCGGGAATGATAACAACACGCGTCAACATCGAACATCATATATCAGCACGGTGGCAATCTATACCACAAGCTAGCATTGTGTCGTGTTGCTATAGTGTGTTAGTTGTTGTTATCGTATGTTGCATGTTGAGATATTGTTCGGTGGGTGGACAAGATCACACATGATATCGCCATGCTATATATATAGACATATGTAACAAACGGTAGCACTGGGCGCTACGTGCGCTACTTAGGCGACTTAGCACGAGCAAGTGACTGAACGAGGATGGTTTTCTTGCGGTCGCATTCGCTGTCTATTTGCTTGCGTTCGCACTCGCTGCCCCCGACATCGTCCCCAGAATTCTCCAAAGCGACCGTACGAAAGTGATCACAGTCGCCCCACCCTTCTGAGCGCTGCTCCCCCGACCCCCTCCCCCTACTCCCCTCCCCCTCCTTGCCCGCCCAAGCGGCTGGCAGGAGACGAACGACTAGAAGGACGCGGCAGAATGGAGAAGGGAAGGGGGATGGTGGCAGCAGGATTGGGAACGAGGAGGGGGGATGGGAGAGAGCGACGCAGGAGCGGGATGGAGGGTGGGCGGGCGGGCGGGCGAAGATGGAGGGGTGGAGAGTGGGAAAGAGGGCGGGGCGGGAGGGATGGGGGCGGAGGATAACGAATAACACGAGAGTGAGGGAGGGAACGGGGAAGGAGGGAGGACCTTGGGAGGGAGGGAGGGGATGGAGGGAGGAGTGAGGAAAGCAGGAGGGGGAGGGAAGACGGACGGAGTGAAGGGAGCGGGATGAGGTGGTGATGGAGACGGATAGACCGTACTAGGGGTGCGGGCAGCGATGATTACAAGACAGATCATCCGTTGGCCCCAGCACCAGCCCAAACGGCGATACTGCATCAGGCGTACGCCCGCAGAACTGGGAGGGCGAACCACTGTGGGCCCCGTCGGCCTGTTCCTCGGCATCGGTATCGTCGTCGTCGTCCTCCTCCTCCTCCTCCTCCTCCTCCGCCTCCTCCTTATCCCCTCCTCCTACTTCTTCTCCTCTGCAACTGAGGCCGCCACCTCCGAGGCCAGCCTTGGCACGTCCGTGCAAAAGCAACATAAGTTGAGCAACGGGTAGACCCACCCATGGGTTGCGCCATGGCCGTGCCGTCCATGGATGGCGCCATACGTTGCGACATGTATTGCACCATGGGTTCCGCCATCCGTGGGCTGCGACATATAATGGTCCATTAGACTCGGGGCTGAGCGGGGTCGGGCCAGTGAGAAGGGTTTGGATGGGAGGTGGGGCCTGGCGAAATGCATTGTTTGGTCGAACGGGCTTTAGAGGGACAGGGAGGGAGCACACAGGCTACGTATAAGTATTCCCTCGTACGGCGAAGTTACCTACACATGTGTTCGGTTAGGTAACTTACCAACACTTGTAAGTAACTTATCCCTCGCGGATAAACACTGACACATCTTAGACGTAGGGCAACTACACTTGCGCCGCAAGAGCAACACTTATAACAGCTACCAATACTTAGAAGACTCGTGGCACCTGCCCCCGTACTATATAAGTAGATTGCACAGGTTGCAAGTCGCCCAAGTGACTCGGACCTCCAAGTGGGGCCCGCAGACGGAGCAAGTCTCACCTCGCTTGGTTTTTGGGGACATCGGTTCTCCAGACATTCCCTGGACCTTTTGATTGTGATCTGGATGCAGGCGGCTCCGCATCCACGGGCGCTTGTTGTGGGCTCGGGGGCCCGTGGGTGGAGCCTCCAGGAGCAGTAGACGCATTGAGGTACACTAGGAGCGGGAGGTGGAGGAGGCGGAAGTGATAAGTTCTGTTGCCTTCCCGGATCTTGACCCCTGGGCGTCCCCAGGGGTCCCCAGACGACCCTTCGGAGGCACGTTCATAGACCTCCCGGAAACTTCTTGGAAGTTCCCCCCTCGATTCTCAAGGGTCAACGGAGACCAGAACTTACCAGACGGACGAGGATGGATCGGCCGCAGGCCGCAGAAGATGGAGCAGGAGCACCCAGGCAACCTCCGTATTCATTTTTTCACAGCGTGGCTTCCCAGAGGTCTGGACTTCCTCACTGGGACCGGCTTTTCATCCCGAGCTAAAAGATGTCAGGGGAAGATGGGCCGCAGAAGCCTTACCCAAGGCGGAAGAGGATGGATTGGTTGCAGAAAGTGTCGGCGACTACAAAGGGTGTGGTTACGTCGGGGTGTAGTTTGTGATCGGCGCCGTTGGGGCTTGGTGGGCACGACGCTGTCCTCGTCGGACCTCCTCGGGGCGCGGCGGAGAACTCTATCGAGGTACTCGATCGCCTCCTAGGATGCCCCCCAGGTGCCTATCGCAAACCACACCCTCTGCAAACCACACCCTTCGGAGATGACGAACGTGGCTCGGCGGCGAGCCTGGGGGGAAAAAAACAGGGGCGGGCCTTCTCAGAAGGCTGGAATACCCCCCTGCTTTTCTGAGAAGTTTTCTATCGCCTCCCTTAGACTCAGAAAGCTTGTCAGAAGGCCCGAGGGCTTCTCAACCGGCCCTGCCGCCTTCTGAGAGGGCCTTCTCATTTTCGCTTCCCAGCTGAGATCAGACGTTGCCAAAAAAATGCGTCATCGCAGAAATTGCGGTTGGACCCCCAAACCCAATATTGCACTGGCCTTACGGCCTGTGCCGCCGACCCTGGAGGCATCGGCTCTGGAGGGAAACGGGGGGAGAGGGCGGGGAGGAGGAGGAGACGGAGGAGTGAAGGAGCCCAAGGACAGAATTTAACACCAGAGTGGCGTGTTACATTCTGTCATCGTGTCGTCGTCGGCGTCGGTGTCGGCGTCGACGTCGTCGACGTCGCACCCGTCGTCGTTGTCGTCGTCCTTATCGTTGCCGTCGGCACCGGGGCCTCCAGGACAGAATTTAACACGAGAATGGCGTGTTAAATTCTGTCCTCGTGTCGGCGTCGTCGTCGTCGTCGTCGGCGTCGGCACGAGGACCCCCAGGATAGAATTTAACACGAGAGTGGCGTGTCAAATTCTGTCCTCGTGTTGTCGTCGTCGTCCGCGTCGTCGGCACAAGGACCCCGAGGACAGAATATATCACGAGAGTGGCGTGTTAAATTCTGTCCTCGTGTCGTGGACGTCGCACTCGTCGTCGTCGCCGTCGTCGTCCTTGTCGTCGCATCGGCACTAGGGCCCCAAGGACAGAACTTGACACGAGAGTGGCGTTTCAAATTCTGTCCTCGTGTCGGCGTCGTCGTCGTCGTCGTCGTCGTCGTCGTCGACGTCGCACGCGTCCTCGTCGTCGTTCTCGTCGTCGTCGTCGTCGTCGTCGTCGGCACAAAGACCCGAAGGACAGAATTTAACACGAGAGTGGCGTGTTAATTTGAGATGCCTCTTGGAACGTCTGATGGGCATCTCAGGTGCCTCTGTCCCTCGCTACCCCCCTCGCTACCCCGCCTCGCTACCCCCTCCCAGTACCCCCCCGCCCCCTCGCGCTGGGAAGGGAAGAAAGGGAAGGGGCTTGCCTTTGATTCAGAGGCGACAGTGCGAATCCGGGACGGCGATGTATCTGACCGAGAAGCCCCAGGAGGGCGGCGTATCTGACCCAGGACCCCCCTCGCTAACCCCCCTCGCTGCCCCCCCTCGCTACCCCTCCGGGACCCCCCCCCCCCGCGCGGGGAAGGAACGAAAGGGAAGGGTGTTCTCTCTGACCGAGGATCCCCAGGAGGGCGGTGTATCTGACCCAGGACCCCCCTCGCTACCCCCCCGGGGACCCCCCCCCCCGCGCGGGGGAGGGTAGGGAGGGGCTTCGCCACGACTACGATTTCTTTCTGTTTCGTGTTCGATTTCCTTTTATTTCGAGCGACGACGATGACGACGACGACGACGACGGCGACGGAGGGCGGCGTATCTGACCCAGGACCCCCCTCGCTATCCACCCCGGGACCCCCCCCCCCCCGCGCGGGGGAGGGTAGGGAGGGGCTTCGCCACGACTACGATTTCTTTCTGTTTCGTGTTCGATTTCCTTGTATTTCGAGCGACGACGATGACGACGACGACGACGACGACGACGACGACGACGACGACGACGACGGCGACGGTGATCCACGCAAGACAACGAGACGACGACACCGTGATGCCTCTTCCACACGCCGACAGGGTCGGCGGATTTCTGCGTCATGTTTCGAGCCGGATCGATCTGTGGGGGTTCTGGGGCCCAAAGCTGTGCGAAAACGCGCGGCTCGAAAAATTGAGAAGCCAGGATCTCAGGGCCCGCCTCGCTCGCCGCCGAGTGGAGCAGGATCAGCAGCAGCAGGAGGAGCCAGAGCCGGCAGCCCTGCGGAAGCTCGGCCGCGGAGCGAGCCAGCCTGCGCGAGGCCGGCCTGCGCGACCCTGGCTGGTGGCCAGAGCGCCGACACGGCGAGCTGCAGCTCGGCAGCTGACCGCCCTGCGCCCTCTTCGGGGGCTGGGCATCGCTCGGACGTGTGCGTTTTTCTCCGGCGTGGACCATCCATCGAGGAGCATCTCGGATCATCTTACGAAAAGATACACGCACGAAATCTAAACATGTACACCTTAGGCGATGCTTAAGAAAACGTAAGTGTTCGGCCAGAGTCTCGATTATTCTTAATGTTTCAATGTAAATCCTAAGATTTGAATCGACACTCTGGGTTTTCTCCAAATTCTGAGACTCTGAATTTCTTAACCCATGATTTCTAAAGCATTTCGCAGGGTGTACGGGGACTGGACGTCCGAGCGATGGCAAGGGAGAGGAGGGGGGAAGCTGGCCACCTCTGTCTAGAGATCCGACGCTCCGACAAGAATGGAAACGGCAGGTTCCTACGTATGGCCGTTCCCTGCCTCCTTGGGCTCTCGCTGGGCCAAGGGGCCTTTCGCAAAAAACGACTCGGACGAAGAATCGGTCCTTGGGCAGTGGTCCAGGCCTCCGGGGCCCCACGCTCCGAAAAAACTGAAGCAGCCAGATCTCGGGGTAGATTATTTTTGACCCCTGGCGGTAACGGGCGTGACCAGGGGGGGGAGCGGTCACGTCGCGATTCGCCCAAGCGTTGTTTGGGAATGTTGTCTGGGAATGCTGGGAATGCGGTCACGTCGCGGTTCCCAGACGGCGCGCCGGGTCGCGAATCGTGACATGGCCATGTGAGGGAGGGCGGAAGGGGGACTCGGCTGGTCATGGGCGATGTCGCGAGTGATGGAAAAGTGGGCTCGTGTGGGGGGGAGCTGGCCACCTCTCACAAGATGTTCGTTCTGGGGACCTTTCCGGGTTCACCTGACGGATCTGGTCGACTCCAGTTCAGTTTGGGTTTGACTCAGGGGGGGAAGCTCAGGGGCAACTTTAGGGGAGATACTTAGGCTCGGGAGAGATGCATCGACCCCGAATCGCCCATTGATCGCCGATAGGAGCCCGATAGTCTCGCCCCGCCCGTGACCGTGTGGACTTGCTATAGCGGGGATATATGATCCTGCCCCCCCCCCCCCCCGAATTCTAATGGGATCGATCCCCCCCCGCTGGATGGGTACGCCGTGAGTCTCGCGAAAGCCTCGTGAATGGGATCACTCTCCCCCCTCCTGTGGTCGTGTCCTCGTGGGCGTGGCGTGGTGGAGGGTGGACGTTCCGCTGCCGTCGCCGAGAGCTTTGCCTGACCAAGGTCGCAGGGCCTCGCGAATAGGATTGCTCCCACTCCCTGTGGTCTTGGACCAGTGGGCTCGGCGTGGTTGAGGGGGGACCGGTGACCCCGCCCCTCCCCCTGTGGGTGTGGGGTCGGGTCGTGGTGCAGTGTCGTCGTCGTCGTCGTCGCCGTCGTCGTCGTCGTCGTTGTCGTCGTCGTCGCCGTCGTCGTCGTCGGCGGTGGGTGCGGTGGCGGCGTCGTCGTCGTCTTCCCCCTCATCTCATCTGGAATGGGGGTGAGCTGGGGAAGCCTGGGGCCCATCCCATCTGGAGGGGGAGCTGTGAACCCTCGACACTGGATCATAGATCGCCACTAGATAGGCGATGTATAGTCGGGCCGCTGAAGAAGGAACCCTTTTCTCTGGGGAGGGGCTCAGTCTTCCTTAATTGTTTGACAGTTTGGAAATCGAAGTTTAACTTATGGAACAAAGGGGCATCGTTACTTATTCAGGCCTTCTTATGTCAGCGCTTCGACTGTATCGCCGATTTCAGCTCGATGCTTCCGCCCCTGAGCGGGTCACCCCCTTAACGTTGCCCTCTATGAGGGGGGGAAGCCGCCCACCTCTCAAGAGGACAAAATAGCTCGATTCCGCTACTGGTCCGTCGTTGTCGCCTTTCTGTTTGCGTGAATCTGAGCGTAAGTGGTTCTGAGTATGAGTGGATCTGACTATGCGTGGGCCGGAGTGCGAATATGGCTGAAACTGTTAGTGGGTCGGTGCGTCAGTGGGCGGAATCATGAGGGGTCTGGATATGATCCAGTCTGAGTGGGAGCGGTGCCCGGTGTGAATGGGTCTGCGTGTGAGTGGTATGCGGGCGGGAGAGTCTGAGCATGAGTGAGAGAGAGGGAGCGGGCGGGTGAGGAGGCGGAGGCGTGAAGCGAAGAACAAGGTACGCGGGCTTAAATCACGGGGGCAGACAGCATCTCCTCCCGCTCATCGTCATCCTATCGCCAACCTCCCTATCCTTCCCTGTAAGGCGGGAGAGGCTCTTAGTCGGAAGTCTGACAAGAGAATCCACCAGACATCATGTAGCATATTGCCCACTCAACATATTATAACAAATGTGCGTCATCTCTGCACGAAGGGGGAGCGGCAAGGTATTTTGTTTCGGGGGTTCCAATCCCGATGTCTTCGCGATTTGCCAGGTGCATTATGGAGGGCGAATGTTCTGCAAGGCTTCATCTGCTGGGGATCTGGCGAATGCCGAACGATACTTGGATCGACCATTAGCTACCCGTCGCCGACATCCGTCGCAGCTTTCCCAGTCTCTGGGTGTATTCTCTTGCTTCCTCCCCCCCATTGCAGGCATCCCAAACCGATTGCACGGCAGTGATCACTTGCCGATTGTGTGCACATTGATGCTGCAGGGCGAACCGTCAACGGTGGCTCTTGGGCGGAGGAGTTGGCGTGAGCAGGGGGGAACCGGACAGCGGCAGTGGCACAAATAGCATGTTGTGTTGATAGACGGCGAATATCGAGCACACAGCGAGTGCAAGGCTACGGGTTAGGCCAGACGCGATCTCCAACCGTTTGACCAGTCGGTGCATCGGTATTTCGTTGTATGGTGGAACCACAGGCAAGGAATTCCCCAGCAGCCACCGTGTGACCATGTGACTCCATAGCGCTCAAGCGAGGCCGCGTCTGCGGTACACCTACGGTTGCACAACAGCGTTACATGCCTATGATTCCAGTATGCTACAGGTGTGGGACGTTTGCGCAGTCGTTTGCCCTATCATCAGTAATATTCACACTTGCAGGCGCAGCTGTTCAGTTAAATTTATTCTGCAGTGACGGTTGTACCGTGGTCATGTCCAGCGAAGTCGATCGACGATTCGCCATTCGCCGATTATATATTTTAAATTTTTGATGCGTACAGCAACGCCAAGGCTTTCAGGACTGCCCCACCTGACAACTCTTGGTGCCAGTACTCTTTTAAACTATTTTTCGCATCCCGATTCATTGTAAGATTTGATGTGCCGTCGGGTGTGTATTCTCTGGGTCAACCGTGATCGCATGTGTGTTGACAGGGGCTTGATTCGTCGCCAAGTGGTTGATCAGCCCGTCAGGAAGCAATCCGCGGTGTATTTCTTTCATAGGGCCCACAGCGAAGAAGCTGAAGTCCCAGGCTGTCATGTTGGGGTGCAAGTTGCCTCACGAGCGGCACTTGCATTCATGTACACCATGCAGGAAGCATTATGTTGGAGAATTGTCCCCAAACCGGAAGTCTTGGATAGTAGCACGCAGAATAGTGTGCACGAGGGAGCACGTGGAAGCAAGTAGGGCCAGTCGCGTGCAGTGACACGTCGAGGCCAAACCAGGTCCAGTGACCCACCAACGCGCCACAAACAAACAACCGACCCGTCCATGGCAGGGCCAGCCAGGGCTGGTGAGATGTATATATATATATACATATATATACACAAGTGGCATGTCTGTGCCCAGGCTCATACAAGTGATGCAAGATGGGCTGGCGGAGTGAGCGAAGCGATTAACAAGATAAGTGTAAGCATGATTCCCACCAGCCGACTTGTTACACCAGACAATTTGCGGATGGAAAGAAGAGGAGGAGAAGAGGAGGAGGATAGCTGCTGGGAGTGAAATGCAATAGCGAGGTCGCACTCGAGCGCAAGTGGGGGTGCCACACCTTGCGATGTGTGTACCAGGGCCCCCCAGGGAAGCCTCAGGAGGCCCGACTTGAGGCTCCAGGAGCCCCCAGGATTGTGAGTGTTGTGTGTGTGATGTGTGCTCTGTGTTGTGCGTGTCTTCTGTGCGTTGTAGTTGTTGTGTGTGTTCTGTTTGTCTAGCGTGTGATGTGTTGGGTGTGATTTGTGTCTGTGTGTGTGCATGTAGTTCTGAGGCCCCAGGAGGCCCCAGGAGGCCCCAGGCAGCCTCAGGATGCCGCAGGAGACCCCAGGAGGCTCCAGGAGGCCCCAAGAGGCTCCAGGAGGCCGCAGGAGGCCCCAGGAGGCCCCAGGAGGTTCCAGGAGACCCCCAGGAGGCTTCAAGGTGGGGTCTGGGGTACCAGAAAGTACAGAAAGCCCAGGAGGAGGCCCCCAGGAGGTTCCGAGGAAGGGTCTGGGGTACCAGAAGGTACGTCGGGGCTCGATGTTGGGAGGATGTCTCAGGCGAAACCGCCATTCTCTGAGAATCGGGGTCAACATTATTGAAATTATTCCCAACCATCCTGTGGTGTTGGGTCCTCGTTTTGAAGAGACGGTGCCCCGCGTTCCTCTCCTTCCTCCTCCTTCCTCCTCCGCCTCCTCCCCCCTCCCATCATCATCATCATCATCATCATCATCATCATCATCATCATCATCATCATCATCATCATCATCATCATCATCATCATCATCATCATCAACATCATCATCATCATCATCATCATCATCATCAGCATCGTCATCGTCATCGTCATCGTCATCATCGTCATCATCATCATCGTCATCATCGATCATCGACATCATCGACGTCATCATCATCATCATCATCGTCATCGCCATCACCCATTTCGGCACACCCCTCACACGTTTCGTGGCCCCATAGGGAGCTCCACCGAAGGCCCCAGGGCTGCCGCCCGCATGCGTCCCCTACACCCATTTCGGCACACCCCTCACACGTTTCGTGGCCCCATAGGGAGCTCCACCGAAGGCCCCAGGGCTGCCGCCCGCATGCGTCCCCTACACCCATTTCGGCACACCCCTCACACGTTTCGTGGCCCCATAGGGAGCTCCACCGAAGGCCCCAGGGCTGCCGCCCGCATGCGTCCCCTACACCCATTTCGGCACACCCCTCACACGTTTCGTGGCCCCATAGGGAGCTCCACCGAAGGCCCCAGTGGCTGCCGCCCGCATGCGTCCCCACACCCATTTCGGCACACCCCTCACACGTTTCGTGGCCCCATAGGGAGCTCCACCGAAGGCCCCAGGGCTGCCGCCCGCATGCGTCCCCTACACCCATTTCGGCACACCCCTCACACGTTTCGTGGCCCCATAGGGAGCTCCACCGAAGGCCCCAGTGCTGCCGCCCGCATGCGCATTTCGGCACACCCCTCACACGTTCGTCGCTGGCTGCCGCCCATATTCGGCACACCCCTCAGCTCCATAGGGAGCTCCACGAAGGCCCCAGTGCTGCCGCCCGCATGCGTCCCTACACCCATTTCGGCACACCCCCTCACACGTTTCATGGCCCCATAGGGAGCTCCACCGAAGGCCCCAGTGCTGCCGCCCGCATGCGTCCCCCAACTCATTCGCACGCTTCGCCCCATATTCCACCGAACTGCCGCCCGCATGCGTCCCCTACACCCATTTCGGCACACCCCTCACGCGTTTGTGGCCCCATAGGGAGCTCCACCGAAGGCCCCAGTGCTGCCGCCCGCATGCGTCCCCTACATCAATTTCGGCACACCATTCGCACGCTTCGTGGCCCCATAGGGAGCTCCACCGAAGGCTCCAGGGCTGCCGCCCGCATGCGTCCCCTACACCCATTTCGGCACACCCCTCACGCGTTTTGTGGCCCCATAGGGAGCTCCACCGAAGGCCCCAGTGCTGCCGCCCGCATGCGTCCCCTACACCCATTTCGGCACACCCCCTCACACGTTTCGTGGCCCCATAAGGTGTGCCGCCGAAGAAGATACTCACAACGGCGGGACCCACGACTGCATATGGTTGGGTCCTTCGCCAGGCTAATTATGTGTTTTTGAAGGTGTTATGTTGAAATGTTGAAATTCTCATGTGATATATATATATATATATATGTATCAGCCAGGGCGCGGCTAGCCGGGGCTGACGACCCATCGGCCGATGCTGGTTACGCACCAACGTGCCACCAAGAACGTCCCATACGGCCAGCGCAGGGCTAGTCGAGGCCAGCGGCGCGTCGATCGGGGCTAGTCACGTTGCGCTGCATATTCGGGGGACCTCGCCTGTCCTAACAATTGGTGTCTGTTCTTGTGCCCGACGCGGGCTCGATGCGCACCCGAGGCGGATTTGGCGTGGATTGGACGCAGATCCGACACGGATTCGACGTGGACCCGACGAGTCCGACATTGTTTCGACACGGACCCGACGCGGTTAGGGCCGCGACGGGACAGACGAGGTCCCTTGAGGATGCAACATAAGTCACGCACAAGCGCAACCAACGGAATTCTTCACCGCCAAGGCAGGGCGA